TGGAAAAAAAAAGTCACATTCAGATATTTTTGTGAGAATTATTTTTAAAGAGTATGTATCAAAAAATATATTTTCAATATTGATTTGACTGATTTAGTTTATAAATGTACACTTACCCAATTAGTGTTAAAAAATATCGGGGTTTTCTTTGTACCCTTTTAAAACAGTCATGATTACTTTAAATTTTGGAAATAATTTTTATCATGTTTTTCAAAATCCATCCCTTTGTTTTTTTTTCTTTTTTCAGTGTTCCAAGAGGATATTCTGTTACTTTGTAATCTAAGCTTTACCTTTCTGAAAAAAATTTTCCAAATCACTGGAAACCCGGGAAAATAAAAAAAATAATGTCTTATTTTAAAAAAAAATTTTTAAATTAATATAACTTATGGAATTTAAATAAGAAAAAAAAGGTATAAATAAAGGTGAAACATAGAATTTGATTTCCATATTAAATGGAAATTTCCAGAAAAAAAAAAAAGAGAAAAGGGAATGATAAAATTCAGTTTGGAAAAGGGGTTTTTTTTAGAGAAAGATGTAGAAAGGATACCATTAAATAAAAAAAGGGCACTATTGAGATCTTTTCCAAAAAGAAAACCAAAAAAGTCCAAAAAGGGGTTCCTAATGTTGTAAATTTACATAGAAAAAACCCTTGAGAAAGAAGAATGAGGAATATAACCATTTATTACCAAAAGAGGGAAGAATTACTTATTACCCAAAAAGACCTTTTACTAGAGAAGAAGTCAAGTTTATAGATGATAAGAGAAAACAGTTGTCAGAAAAAAAGTTTTAAAGAAAAGATTTTACCAAAAAACCATTGGAAAAAAAAAAGAAGGATTAATGGAGGAATCCAAAATAACCTTGGAAGAATTAAGGTTATTATGAGAGTAACTTTTTCCCTTTTGGGGCTGAGGGGATAGGCGGGTCAAGCGAGTGCAGCCCCTGGGGGAGGATAGGTGGGTCAAGGAGTGCAGCCCCTGGGGGGATAGGTGGGTCAAGGGAGTGCAGATTAGGGGGTTCTAAAGATAGCCGGGTCAATTCAGTACATATGTTGCATCATCTTTTAGATCTATTGCATCATCTTTATATATATCTGTTGCATCATCTTTTTATATCTATTGCATCATCTTTTTTGATACTTGTTGCATCATCTTTTTAAACTATTTATTGCATCATCTTTTTATATCACACATTGCATCATCTTTAACCTGTTGCATCATCTTGCAAAAATAGGTTGGACTTATCTTTCTGTAAACTATCTAGTCAGCGAGCTTACCTATGCATTGTGACGTCATAAACTTGGCAGCGACGTCATGTTAGTCCTTCACAAGCCGCGATGGCTGCTTATTTTGACACAATAACACAGACTTTCACAGCGCTTGAGACTTCATGTAATAACAGTATGGTCCTATGGATTTCAGTACCAAAACTGATTTTCTACCGTTTTTCTTCCAAGAAAGTTCTGAACAGCTGAATCCTGGATCAGCCTAGATGTTATTTCACTGGATTATTTAATGAATATTACTCTACTGAGTTACCTGGTTACATGGTAAGTTTTAACAAACTTTTCTTTATACATTTTCTATGAAGGTCATCTTTGTATTTATTCATTATTACTGTGTTATATACCTTATGTTTAGAACATTCATATAAACACTGCCATTGTTTACCCTGAAATACACTAGGACACTAAAAGATCCTCAAAATGTTGATAAATCTTTTTTGCATGAGTTATGATCATATTGTCTCACATTCCTTTTATTGGATCAGTATTCTAAATATTCTTATGAGGAGACTCCTAGCATATCTTATAAAATACTGATACATGCTTTTAAAACAACTAAAGTGATATTCTCAGTTGTCATTTCTAATATTTCTATGAATCTTTAATCACAGTGACCAAAAGAAGGATATGGAGATAATCAATCAGATCATATTATGCCAATGAATCTTTTGTCTCAAATCTTTTTTAATGAAATATACAGAATCTTTTGCCTTATTTGTCACTCATATTTTTACATTCTGGTGCAACAGTGGCCCAATGAAAGTGGGAAAAACTCAGTCTGAGCATCTCTGTAAATCTATAAACATGTGTGCCCCCCCCTTTTTTTTTTTAAACCTTCATGTATATACATGTATGTATTTTATTTAGTCAGTGATTTCAAACATCAACATGTAAAATATATATTGAGTACTTTAAAAGTGAATATACATGATTTGTACACCCTGAATATTCTGACATACTAATGGTGACATCAGTTAAAAGAGTAATTAGTTATGTAAAATTCAGTTTATATGAATGTAAATGGGGTATTTATTCTCAGTTCATGTAAGGTATAATTTGCATGTAACCCAGAGTGTATTTAATATTACTATGATGGGTCATTCTGTGATTGAATTTAAATCAGAAAAAATGTTTACTAAATTTTGGTAAAATACATATGGTATCTTTTACATTTCTGTCCTGTTTGTCTGTCAATTGTTGCTTTACTTCCTTTGTAAAATGAGGTTAATTTGTGTATCACTGAATATTGTATGCTTTTTTTTCAGGATCAGCTGAGATGTTATTTCACTGGATTATTTAATTGGGCATATAATTGGATAATTCTGGTAAGTTTGTCTTTGTTTTGTTTACATTTCCTATGAAGGTCATCTTTGCATTTAACCATGATTATATGGTTTAATTTAATTACTGTGTAATTCTTATGTGATCTAATATCTCTAACATTCATATAAGCACAGTCTTATTTTGTCTAAAATATACTAAGGAAACTTCATATTGTTAATAAGTCCTTTTGCATAAATTATGATATAATGTCATAATTCATTATGTCTGTTACCCATGGAATTCAGACTTACTAAATTGTGATCTATAAGGAATGTAATAAAAGAAAAAGTAAGAATCTACAAAAGGTTTATCCTTGTTTTGATTCTAAATATGTGGTATATATGGCATACATATATTTTCATTTTCACTTTTGTTTCTTGGTAATGAGCTTTTCAAAAAATGTAGGACTACATGTTGTATATGCTAATATCTTTTTGTATGCTGTACTGACAGGTATTAAACAAAATTGAATATGCTGTTATAGAGAAAGTCTGTTAGTGATTTGTAAAATTACACTGATAATCATTTTGTATTTGTGATATTAATACAGTAACTGTGCTTCTTTTGTTATCTAAAGATAACATGATGAACTATTTTCATGAACTTTTTGGCACTGTATTTAAACATGCAATGTTTCATGCAGTTCCTTGTCATATTAACAAAATGATTATATTTTCTACAGTCCTCAACCTGGAAGATATGTTTTATTCCCAACCATCTATAATCCATTCTCTATGAAGTTCAGCCTGTCTGCCCAAATTCCTTTGGAAATACATAGTTAGTCAACCAACATAGAAACAATCAAACTTGAAGGTAAAGTTTCAATGAGATATCATTTTCATTTATTTAATTCTGTTTTATTTAAATGTTTATATTTTAAAATGGATAAAAAAAAATGGATAAAAAACATCTGATAATGGAAATCAATATCATAAAGATAGTAAGTTTTTTAGTGTCTAAATAATTAATCTGATAATCATTTTATTTATGATATTAATACAGTAGTTGTGCTTGTTTATTATCTATAGATAACATGATGAACTTTTCTCATCTGGAGTTAATGTTAAAAACAATTTTTTGAGATTAAAAACAAATATTTTCATGATCTTTTTTGGCATTGTACATGTTGTATTTAAACATGCATTGTTTCATGCAGTACTCTGTCATATTAACAAAATGGTTTTATTTCTACAGTCCTCAACATGGAAGAATTGGTTTGTTCTTAACCATCTATAATCCATTCTCTATGAAGTGAAGCCTGGCTGCTGGTCTTCCTTTGGAAATACACAGTTAGTCAATCAACATAGAAACACACAAACTTGAAGGTAAAGTTTCAATGAGATACAATTGTAATTTTTATTTATTTATTTATTTATTTACATATGCATTTTTATATTTTTGAATTGATAAGTAAATGATATATGATTTTTTTAAAATAAAGAGGGCTTGGTGGTCATGGTCATGTTTAAACTCTATTGATATCCTTTAGAAGAAGAAGAAAAGGCATAAAAATTCATGATCAAATTTTTAAAACTAAAATGTATGAAATTTTTCTTTGCCAAATGATAGTTAACAGCTGAAGATAACATATTTATAGAATAAGTTAAATATGGCTAATTTGTTAACCCCAGCTTCCTTAATAGCATAATTGGTAAAGATAGGAAGTTTTGACTTCAATTGCTGATGAATTCTGAATTTTCCATTTAATATTAACATTCTATCAAAGAGAAAGAATACTATAATGTGGCTCATTAGGATGACCAGAAAAGAAATCTTAATGAACCTCTTAACTATGTATAAAGATTGTAACCTTATAACTGATGTAAGATGATCTGATTGTGTGGAAATAAAATTTCCTGGTGTTTCTACTACCCAAGATCTTCTTATGAGTGTATGGGACTGCTGTAAACACTTTATTCATAAAAGGTACTTTCAATATCATTTCTATGAGTTTGTGTTCTTTCTTTTTAATAATCTAGTGTTATATCTCCTTTAACCTCATTAATATGTATGCTTCCAACATCTTAGATCTGTCTGTATAGTTTCTTCAGCTCTTTGAACACAAATACCCTGATTCAATCTTTTGAGGTAAACATCATAGAGACATCATAGATGATTATCAGAGTGTATATATCACAATCTTGACCATAAGGTCAATTTAAATGGTCAAAGGCACAACAAATGAAAGTGAAAACTTTTTTTTTTATTCAGAATACATAATTTTGTAATAAACAAACACTGGAAAGTTACTCTCATAATAAGCCTTAATGTCCTCCAAGAGTTCAGTTTAGACTTCCTCCATTAATCCTTGTATCTTTTAATCCTTGTAAGTTTTTTATGTTTCAAAAAAAATTTTTTAAAAAAATTACCTCATTTATTTTTCTAAAATTTTTGTAAAGAATTTTTCAAAAAAAAAAAATGTTTTTGAATATTTACTTAAAATTTTAAAATTTAAAAAATGATTTAACCCCTTTTTGAACCTTTCATTTAGGGACAGATAAGTGTTTTTCTTAAATTTTTTTTTATGTAACAAAATTTAAAACCCAAAGGGTTTTAAAGGGAAAAAACGAAAAACGGTTAAAAAGACCAAAGGGGATTTTTTTTAAAATTTTTAAAAAAGTCTATTTTTTTGGAAAAAAAAAAAGGGGCATTTTGACGTAAAAACAAAAGTTTTAAAAAAAATTAAATTACGTACATTTTTTTTTAAAAAAAAAAAAACAAACAATTTTATTTGATAGTTTTTTTTTTAAAAAAAACATTAATTAATATTTCAAAAGTTTTTAAAATTTAATTTATAGGAAAGGAATTTTTTTTCCCTTGAAAATTTTAAATTTTAATATACAAAATTTTTGCAAATAAGACCTTAAAAATTTTTTCCTTTCATAATAAAGGAAAATAAAAAAATTTTTTTTTTTAAATGAAAATTTTAAAAATTTCCCCCTTTTTTTCTTCTTTATGGAAAAAATGTTAAAATAAAGAATAAAAAGTAAAAAAGGAAAAAATTTTTTTAAAAATTTTGCAAAATTTGAGTTTCCCTCAAATAGGGGTTTTGATTAAATTTAAAAAAATTGGCCTTTTTAAATTTCTTTATAATTGGGATAGAATTTAAAATTTTCGACAATTTTGGGACAGTTCTTTTCGTCTGGGGTTTTTTTTTTTGGCTGTTCCCCTCAAAAAATTTTTCCCTTTTAAAAAAACCTTTTTTTTTGAGTTGACTTCAATTTTTTTTTGGGTAAATTTTTTTTTTTTTAAAAATTTTTTTTAAAAAATTAGTTGTCCTAATATTTTTTAAAATTTTTGGCAAAAATTTTTGCATAAAAAAAAATTTTTTCCATTTTTTTTTTGAAAAAAAAATTTTTCCCAACTTATTCCAATTTTAAAAAATTTAACCCCCATTTAAAAAGGAAAAAAAATTTTTTAAAATTTTATAAAAGAAAAATTTTGAAAATTTATTTTTTTAAATTTAACCTTTAATTTATTAAAAAAAAAATTTTTTTTTAGGAAAAGAAAAAACCTTTTTCCAAAAATTTTTTTCCCTTTTTTTTAAAAAGGAATTTTAAAAATTTATTTTTCCTTTTTGGTTTTAGGTAATTGGGTTTTTTAAAAAACTTTTTTTTAAAATCCTAATTGCCCCTTAATTTTTTAAAAAATTTTAATGCTAATTTTTTAAAAAAAGTTTAAAATTTTTTAAAATTTTTTTTTTTAAATTATTTATTTTAACTTTAAAAAAATTTTTTTTTAAAAAAATTTTAATTTTTTTTTTTAAAAGTTTTAAAAACCTTTTTTAATTTTTCCAAAATTTTTAATTTTTAAAAATTTTTTAATTTTCTAAATTTATTTTTAAAATTTTTGTCAAAATTTTTTTAAAAAATTTCAAATTTCTTACCTTTTTTTTTTTTAATTTAAAAATTTTTAATTTTCTTTAAAAAAAGTTTCCCTTTAAATAAAACCCTTTTAAAATTTTAATAAGGGGTTTTTTAGAAAAGGGGAAAAAAACCCCACTTTTAAGATTTTTAAAAGGCTAAAAAATTTTTAAAAATTTTATTTTTAATTTTTTAAAAAATTTTTTAATTTGAAAAACCCTTTTTTTAAAATTTAAATTTCATCAAAATTTTGGGATTTAATTCTTTAAAAAAATTGAAAAAAAAAAGGGGAAGGAAAAAATTTTTAAAAAAAAAAAAAATTATAAAATTTTAAATTTGAAAACCAAATTTAAAGGGGGTTTTTAATTTTTAATTTTTTTAAAATTTTTTTTTTTAAAAAAAAAATTTTTTTTTTCAAAAATGCTACCAAAATAAAAATTTAAAAAAAAATTAAATTCCAATAAAAAAATTTTAAAATTTTTTTTTCCCCAAAAAAAAAAATTTTTTTTTTAAAAATTTAAAAAAAAAATTTTAAAGAATTTTAAAAAATTTTTGAAATTTTAAAATTTAAAAAGAGGTTTTTCCAAAAAAAAAAAAATTTTTTAAAAAATTTTTTTTAAATTTATTTAAAAAAATTTTTTTTTTAAAAAAAATAAATTTTTAAATTTAAATTTTTAAAATTTTTTTTAAATTAAAAAAAAATTTTTCAAAACAAATCCCAAAAAAGGTAAAATTTTTTAAGGGAAATTTAAAAAAAAAAAAAAAAAAAATTTTGGGGGTTTTTTTAAAAAAAAAACAAAAAATAATTTAATTTTTTTTTAAAATTTTTTTTTTTAAAAAAAAAAAAAAAAATTTAAATTTTTTAAAAAATTTGAAAAATTTAATAATTTTTTTTAAAACCTTTAAAAATTTTGGCAAAAGGGCCCCCCCCCTTCCCCCGGGTTTGGGGTTGGGAATTTAAACCACTTTTTTTAAAATTAAAAAAATTTTCCAAAATTAAATTTTTTAAAAAAAACCAAAGCCCCAAAGGGGTTAAATTTTAAAAATTTTTTGGAAATTTTTCTTTTTCTTTAATTTTTTATAACAAAATTTTAAAATTGCTGGGGAATTTTTTTTAATTTTTAAAATTTTTTTGGGAAAATTTTAGGTGAACAATTTTAAAAAATTTATTTTTTTTAAATTTTTTAAATTTAAAATTTTTGGTTTTTGGGTTTTAAAATTTTAAAAAAAATTATTTTGCAATTAAAAAAAAAATTTTAAAAAAAAAAATTTTAAAAAATTTTTTCCCAAATTTGGTTTTAAAATAAAAATTTGTAATTAAAAAAAATTTTTTAAAAAACCCTTAAAAAATTTTTTTTTTGAAGTTTAAAGTTTAAAATTAAATTTTAATTAAACCTTAAAATTAAAACGAATTAAAATAATTTTTTTAAAAAATATTTTTTTGAAGGATTGGTGAATTTTTTGTTTAAAATTTTTAAAAAAGAAAAGGGGGAAAGGCATTTTAAAAAAGTTTTAATTTTTTCTTTTTAAAAAAAGTAAAAATTTTTTTAAAATTTAAAATTTTAAATTTAAATTTAAGAAAATTTTTTTTAAAAAAATTTTAAAAAAAAAAAATTTTAAAATTTTTTTAAAAAAAAAAATTAATTTTTATAAAAAATTTTTTTTTATAAAAAAAAAGGATTTTTTACCTTTTTGGAAATTGTTTTTTTTTTTGGGAAAAAATTTTTGGGAAAAAAATTTTTTTTTGGGAAAAAAAAACCTGGAAAAAATTTATCTTTTATAACTTATTTTTTGATAGAATTTTCCAAAAAATAAACAAATTAATTTTTAAAAAAAGTTTTCCCAAATGAAAAACAGGTTCCTTTAAAACAAAATAAATTCCCCAAAAAAATTTTTAATTTTTTTTAAAAAGTAAAATTTTTATGATTGGGGGGGTTTTTTTTTTAAAAAAAAAAAATTTTTCCTTTTACTGTAAAATGTTTTAATTGTAATTTAAATTTTCAAATGTAAATTCCCACTTAAAATTTTACATTTTAATCTTAAAAAAACCCTTTTTTTAAATTTAATACTTGGGAATTTGAGGGGAAAAAAATTCCCTTCATTAAACCCTTAAATTTTTTAATTTACAAATATTTCTTTTATTGTTAAAAAAGGTTTTTTTAAAAAAAAAAAAAAACAAAAATTTTAAAAAAAATTTTTAAAAAAAAAAAATTTTTTTCCCCCCCTTTGGATTGCCCCAATGGAAATTTCGGGGAAGTTAAATTTCTAAAAAAATTTTTTATTTAAATAAAATTTTTTTTAAGTTTTAAAAAATTAATTCCCATAAATTTTAACAATTTTAAAACCCAATTCCAATTTTTATTTAATTTAAAAAAAATCTCAAAAAAAATTTTTTTTTTTTTTTTTAAAAAAAAAAAATTTTTTTTTAAAAATTTAAAAAAATTTTCAAGTTTTAAAAAGCAAAGAATTTTTTTAAAAACCCCCCAAAAAAAATTTTGTAATTTTTTAAAAAAATAATAATTTTAGTAAAAAAATTTTTTTAACCCCGATTTTCCCTTTTTTTTTAAATTCCTAATTGAGTACTTTTTTTTGAAATTTAAAAAAACAAATATATGTAAAACCCCCAAATAAAAAGGGTTCCAAAGAAGATTGTAAAAAAAAAGAAAATTTTTTTTTTACAAGTTTTAACTCCATATTTCAAAAAACCTTTTTTTTTAAAAAATTAAAATTTTCAAAAATAAATTTAAAAATTTTTTAAAATTAAATTTTCAAAAATAAAAAATTCAAATATTTTTTTTGGTTTTTTCAAATTTAACCCCCCTTTTTTTTTTTGAAAAAAAAGCGTCCAAAAAAAATTTGGGAAAAAATTTTTTGAAACCCGTTAAAATTTTTTTTTGAGTTTCGGTTTGGGATTTTGAAATTTTTTTAACAAAAAGAAATATTTTTATTTAATCAAAATAAATATGGTTTAAAATTTTCACACCCATGAATTTTTCCTAAGTTGGGAAAAAAAAAAGGGTCAAAAAAAAATTTGAAC